ATAATCAAAATTATACTAATAAATAATCAATTAGTAGTAACTTGCTATAAGGAGTGACCCTATAGGATCATATATTATTAACAATATCATTCTGTAATGACTTTTGGGCATACAAGATCTTTTATGTGCATGTGTGTATGTATGTATGTATGTATGTATGTATGTATGTAGGTATATAGGCCAAGTGTAACATATTACCAAATATTAACGATAAAACTATAGACCATATGAAAATAAATATGTTCATTTCTAAATATACATTATTCATAGATGAACATGTATGTTTAGTTATAAACATTCATGTGGTTCTATGGTTAGTTGTATATGTTTGGTTTTATATTGAATCAACAAAATATATATATATATATATATATATATATATATATATATATATATATATATATATATTGGTAGGGTCGATTCATTGCATTTCAATGCCCAGGGCGAAATGAATAATAATTCCCCAATGTGTGTAACGTCCAAAGGTCGAGATAAATAAGAATTCTCGTATGTTCGTTTGCACGTTGCACAAAAACACATATTACAAAAATTTATAAAACAAAATCTTAAGAAACTCTTTCATTAAACAAAATCACTACTAATATAAACACAAACTTGTACAAATCACCTAAACCGATGACTTTATGCATGCTTTGAATCAACGAAATTTAAGAACACACTTTGAGCTTCGAATATTTGAAGATAACCAACATTATTAGCCTTAAAAGGTTATAAATACCAACAAAGTTGAAACCACATCCAACTATTGGTCTTCAAATTTCGTAGCTCTTAGCTTCTTAACACTTACAAATACAATAATAATAATAATAATAATAATAATAATAATAATAATAATAATAAAATCTATTTAAGCCTATTATTTAGTAGGAAAACCAAAATTAAAATAAACACCTTATTTTCTAGATAAACCAATTAAAATCTCATTTGTGCAGACGAAAATTACACATAATGAAATGTTCGCATTAATAATTTTTTTTAATTTAAAGAATACGGTCATGCTTCTTCAAAACAACTAACATTATATTGAAGTTAACAAATGCATTACTACTTTGTTAGGTATATTTTTATAACCATAACCTATCCAACCTCATAGTTTTAAACTACAAACACTGGTCATCAATCTCATCATCATGAATAACTTGAACTCCAAAATTTTTTTTAATTTAAGACACACACATACACAAAAGTATATAGACACAAAGATTAAAGAGTGAGAAATCATAATAGCTCTATCGTTCTTCACTTTGTAGAAATGAAAAATATTACTAAGATTCATAAGATAAAAAATTTAGAACTTAGATAAATACAAAGATTACAGAGGAGAAGAGGATGGAGATACGATTCTTGATTTATAACAAAAATAAAAGGAAAAGTGCAAAACGTAGCTAAAAGAAATCTTTTACCATTGATATGAAATATCCAATCGGTTGAGAAAGAGTGTAAAGAAAGGGGTGATTATCAGCATCAACGATCAAATTTTCTTATTTCTAGGGATATCTCCTCGTCTTCTGTAAGTACACATCGATGTCCCAATCTTTCTTTGTTTACAACATTCATAAATAGACTTAATATACGAGATCCAAAGACTTACTAGATCATTAAAACTCATCAAAAAAAACTCCTCAAAGCAAAATCATGCTTACATGAGTGAGGAGGGTATGACAATAAGTAAACATGGGTATTTTGGTGGAGATGTAATGTGCAGGTGAAGCTTGTGTTTAAGAGATGCAACATAGGATGAAGTTCAATTTGGTTCAACACTTAAGCATGGAGATCCATGAGTATCTTCACTTAGACTTATGGGGTCCCTCTCTAGTGAAGTCTCATGGCAGATGTCAATATTTTATGTATTTTACCGATGAGTACTTAAGGAAGGTGTAGGTGTACTTTCTTATGGTTGAAAAATAGACTAGGAAACAAGTCAGGTCACTCGACATATAAAATGGGTTGAAGTTCTGCAAGACTGCGTTTGACAACTTTTGCAAAAAAGAATGTGTAGCGAGGCATCGTGCTGTACGACAAACACCACATCAAAACATATTGGCATCATGGATAAACCAAACACTGATGCAGTGTGCTTGGTGCATGCGATTATCTGCTGAGTTATTAGAGTAATTCTAGGTGGAAGAAGTCAACATTGCTTGCTATCTAGTGAACAGATCTGCATCAACTACAATTGATTCTAAGACTCCTCAAGAGGTGTAGTCTGGAAAACGCTCTAATTATTCTTGTTTACTAATGTTTGGATGCGTTGATTATGCTTGTGTGAATGATCGTAAATTAGATTTGAGAGCAAGGAAGTGTATATTTCTAAGATATGCATCTGGAGGGAAAGATTACTGTCTGTGGTGTTCAGAAGAAGCAAAGATCCAAAACTCGTTATTAGCAGAGATATAACCTTTGAATCTGTTATGTGTAACCACAGAAGAGATGGTACAAGTGTTGTAGGGAATAATATGGGTGTTAGCCAGAAGGTGGAGTTTGAAACATGAATTCTATATAGAGTTGTGATAAATGCTTGATAACAAGGTGGCATCGAACAGAATAGACGTGAGGAATCCCCGTACAACCCATAGAAGAAGTGTTTGGTGATGTTGATGCCAAAAAAGATAACCTAATGGATCTTTTGAAGAATGGTTTGTGATGAACGATTTTGGAGTTGAAAAGAATATATCATGGATGAAGATTCAGAGGAAAGAAGAGCAAGATGGTTATATATTTCTCACTACATCGAGAAAGTCTTGCAGTCATTCTATTTTAATAAATTCAAACCTGTTGGTACTTCTTTGGTGGTTCGAGGTAAATTGGGAAATCTCATTGGGAAGTGGTCAAGTGGACCTTATGACACTTGAAGGTAACACTTGATGTTTTTCTAGTGTATGGTGCTAATGCACGACATACGGACTTGGTTGGATCGATACACTCATACCATGGAAGTGATCTGGTGATAAGAAGATCATTGATGTTTGGTCTCGTTCAGAGTCTTGGTTTGAAGATGGAGAAACCTATCATGTTCTATGATAGGTTTTTGCATTCGAAAGTCTGGTACCATAGAGAATCCGGAAAACATATTGACAAGGTCGGTGCCTAGAGATAAGTTCAAGTTTTGCTTTGAATTGTTGGTTGTCTGCATGAGTTAAGTTCCTCCGGGGCATGATGGGAGAGGAAGTTATTGGTTTGTGGAGGAGTTTAGACAATGGTCAAATCAAGGTGGAGATTGTTAAATGTGACTTAAGAATTAAAGACCTGAAATGAGAGTTAGAGCATTTGACAATTCAATGGAGCATCTTGGATATGATGACACTCTTGAGTATGGTGGCACTCTTGGTTATGATGGCACTCCTCAAATATGATGACACTCTTTGAAATGGAACATCTGACAAAAGACTGGAGTATCAGAACAAGTGTCATGCACAGGATGTGCCACCAAGTGACAAGGTATACCACTCAATGGCACCCGGTGCATCATCATGAAACTTTATGCGTCGATAGTGGCACATGATTTGCTATCATGTGTATAGTTAAAGGTTTGGTCAAGGTGACCTATGTCCACAGGCAGGATGTAGGTGACATTGAACAACCATGCAATGTCTCTCATGGTTGAAGGCTGTAGAAGCAGTTGCATTGCAGAATGCAGCTTGTAATTGACTGACACCTTTCATGGACCTAAGATTGATGGGCTTGGCCCATTATAGTTTTAGGTCTGATCTTTAGTCTATAAATAAGGGTGCCTACTAAGTCATTGATTTTGTCTTGTTCTTTGTATCATGTATCCTTAATGGGTAGGCGAATCTCTGTTGGTTGTACTTGTAATCTCTGTTTGAGAACTCTGTGAATAAGAATACTTCCTTCCTGTCCGTAGACGTAAGTCACCTTGATCGAACCACATAAATATTGTGTTTTTGTGTGCCTGTGGTTTCGTAAGTTATCCACATTACTTCCTAAAAAGGGTTATCAAAGCTTGTCAAGTGTAAGGTTGGCAATAATATCGTGTGCGGGTTGACGGGTAACAGGTTGGCGGGTCAGAATGCACCAACCCGTATACAACCCATATAATTATTTGTGTCGTGGGTTGACGGGATACGGATTGGTAGGTTGGAATTTGGAAACATCAACTCGTCTAACACGTTTAGTTATACATGTCAGAATGCACCAACCAGTATACAACCCACATGGCCCCTAGTCAAGTGTTTAACACGAATAAACACGAAACACAAATTTTTAAAACTCATAGAAAGAAAACCCATGTTGTGTAGATCATATTGTGTATCAAATTGGCATGTATAATTTGGTGTCAGGTTTTTGGTTGCTACACCGTATTGGTGAATTTGTTGATGAAGTGAAACTATTGATACCAGTTGATAACTTTTTTATTTGTAAATGAAAAGGTAGAATGGTCATTTATTAATTCTCATACAATTTATTACAAAAAAAAAAAAAAAAAAAAAAAAAGCAAACATTTGGTATCCACCACGTTATCTATACATAAATCTTTTATCCATTCAACACTTAAATTGTACAGTTGATAATAGGAAAAGAAACAAACAGCAATAAAACATATTTGGTTAACCTATTGTGTTACGGCTGCATGCATTTTCCTAATCAATTTCTTGTAATGATGAAATCCAAATTATGCCTCATATCAATGCAAATGGCCTCAACAAAAGATTAATCTTTCTTAAATGCCGCTAGAGGCTAGAGCAAACTGTCAAAGGAACAGTTGACACTAGAGATAAAAGTACTAAAGTAGTAATCCAAAGAATGTATGCCATAAGCTAAGTAAACCAAAGAACACAATTACAAAATCTTTAGTGTGTATTTGATAATTAATATTACACAATGAGTTGGTGTTAGAAACAGAAATCACATGCTGACGTCAACAGCTTCAAAGTAGTGCTGATCCTAACAGCATAATGTTTAAAGCATTTCAAAGGAACAAATTACTAGCAAAAAGCAATATGAGTAGCAATGTAGCATGCCAAAAAGTTGAAAGCATTCTGTATAGTTTAAATAAGCAATATGCATGCTTTGCTTGTACATTTGAAGGATCTCAAAATTCCAAAAAGGTTACAAATAAAAGCAGTGGTTAAGGGTCATACAAAATGCTGAGTGGGGTACTCATGTTCATATGCATTGTAGTCATAGTAGAGTCTTTCTCCCTTTGATATATCCCTGTTGGCTACCAGCAACACCCTCGCCTCACCATCCACATCATATCGCACACACTTCAAATTCTGCTTCCTTCTCCCCTCTCTGTAAACAGAACAATAAATACAAATAACTTTTGCGCCTCCTAAAATTCCCTTTTAATACTTATATATCACAAGGCAAAGAGAGCTTACATGGTGTGATTGTTAATGCCATTGATGAATCGAGCAATATTGCTGCGCTTGTCAGGACAAATGACAAGACTTTTTGAAGGATGAGCAGCAGAAATAAGAGTCATGATGCTATCTCCATCATCATTTTCCCGGCTTTTTAAGTAATCAACATCTCCAACATATTCAGTGATTATTGTCCAGTCTTTGATACATTTATCAGCTTCTACAGTGAAACTGCAACAATAACATATACTATTAATCGCCTGCCTCATTAACATGAAAGGTTTAAGCACAAAAAAAAAAAAAACCCACTTACCCTTCTACAGGATCAAAAACAACCAGAAGTGGAGGGCATTCCCCTTTCCTCATCATGCTCTTGCACAGATTCAACGCCTCAGTGTCTTCTCTTGATAAAACCTGCATCCCTTCTTTCTCATAAGCAGGACGATTAGCTGACCTAGGAGCCATGCCATGAATATATGTCAGCTCATTACTGAACTCAGCTCCTGTAGCTGTCAGCGCTGTGGCTAGTGATGCCATTTGTTCTAGTCTTCTTGCAGGATCCTCACTTGGAATATATGGTAACAGTCTCCTTTTCTTCTTTGATGCCATTAAGCAACTTTTTCGCCTCTTTTTCTTGCCTATATCTACAATCATATAACAAAACAACTCTTACCAATCTTTTTCTCTAATCAACCAATAAAACATAAACAACATGAATAAATGATCTCTTATCTACCTTGACAAAATTCTTCACCTGATGTAGAGGACCTCTGGATGCGGAAAAAATCAATGATTTTTGTTTGAACCAACGGGAATCCTGGGTACAGAACAAGAAATGACATTGTTAAAGGTGAACCAATCACTTCTGGACTAAACATGATGTACACAGACAGCAATGCATATAATTCAAAGGCTTGTATCCTAGAAATTAGGGGTTGTTCCTAGTCAAGAATTTACCATGAGATTTTTTACCCTATCGGCTACCTGGATTATCATTCACATAATCAAGCGAATCAATTGCCTCGGTGTATGAGAAGAATTCCACAGGATGTAATTACATTTATTACTGTGAAGTATTTGAATCAGACAGCTGGGGCAAAGTCCTTAGATCTAGGGTTTAATTGGGGATCTTCGCATTTCAAGCTACCAGTATAAAATTGAGCATTGGATGAATCAGCATCTATGAATTAGTTCATTACTTTACAACAAAAAAACCCCTTCCGAAAAATCTTAAACCTAGACCATAACATGCAATGCGACAAAATGCAGGTCAACTGAAATTGAAAAAGAAAAAAGACATACTTGAAATGGTCTTCCGATTGGTGGAACAAGAACGACAGAACCAGGAGCCGATCGGAACAGAAGCAAGAATAGGTCTGAGGCAGAATAAGTGAAACCCTCGGTCACACTGGTCGCACAATAGGAGCTCCGATCCATAGTCACCTGACCCACATTCCTCACATTTTGTGTCGCCGTAGTCGTTGTCATCTTTATTCTTTGCATTCGATCTTTCCCTGGAAGAAGATTTGTTGGAATTCGTAGCTTGGGTCCTCCGTCTAGCAACCGCTCTCGGCCCAGACACCATCGTTTTCGAAGAGGTGAATGAATGTAGATGTAATAGGAAGATATAGAGAGAGGTGACTGTGTGTGTGTATATATGGAATAGAGTTCGCGGGAAAATCTGCGAATGGAAATCAATTGGCGCCCTAATTTAATTTTTACCGGGGTTGGACTCATTTTGGGGCTTAAGTACATTTGGTACCCCTCCCGTCCCTTCCTTTTATTTTATTAGGTTAGGTTCCAAGACAAAATTATCAAAAAAGTCATTAAATCTTATCATTCACAAATTAAAAGAAAGCTAATATAGCATTTTATAATTTAAAGTCAAATGCTAAGGCTATAATATTATCACATTTGCTGTATAATAAAAAACAAACTGTAACAATATTTTAATGGCTTATCTTAAATATTTCCGCCAGTATTCATAATATAATGTGGGTCGAACACATACGCATAAGGCCTTTTTTTGAAATTTGAAAGTTAACTTAGCAACTTTAAAGATGTATTTAACTAAAGAAGTGGTTTTTCTATTTAAAATTTTGATTTATTCATATAAGATGAAAACTATTGTACAATAAAAATAAAACATATTTTATTTTATTTGTGGAAAATGTTATCCAATTGTGCTTAATATCATATTAATGTTTAAAGTAAACCCATTAGAAGGCCCATGTTTAAGCCCATGAATTTCAAATACCCATAGGCCATAGCTGTGTTGTGTCGGTCCGAGAGACTAGAGCGAGAGAGACGGAGAGAGATGTACCTGAAGAAGGCGTTTTGGAACGAGGTACCGAAATCGGAAACCCAGAGTAGTGATAAACTGTCGGAAACGACGTCGCCGGTGACTGACCTTGTGAGCTCACTCGATGATCAGAGACTCTACAGAGAGGTAACTCTCGCACTACGAACCGGACTCCGTGACGCACGCTCCGATTTCTCGTTCCTTCGACTACATGGCCTTCGCAACATCCTCAAATTCCTTCGATCTGTTGCGGCCTCTGATTCCACCATCAATCTTTTCTGCCACACCCAAACGATTCCCGATCTCCAAGGTACTCTATGCCACTTTACCAGCCCATATTTTATCATACGGATTATATATATATTCAAATCAGGACATTGGAAATAAAAAATCTGTTTCGAGTTTGTATTTTTAGTTCATGCTTGACAACTAGTAGTTATTTCCTATCTTGTTTCACGTCTGTTAGAACCATTTTCCTTTGATTACCAAAATTACTTATTTTTATGATCTGGTTAATTGACCTTGAAAGATTTTTGTGTGGATCTGCTATACTAGCTGTCATCGATAGGATGGAAGGAACCAAAATTGAATTAGATCAATTAAAAAAATTCCATTTTCCCTACTTGTTTGTTGACCTGGGATGAATTTGGGCTTAGATATCATCTGATATGGTTATTTTGATTGGTTTACAGTAGTATGTATAATGTATGATAAAATGTAACTAAAAATCTGTCTTGTGTTATTGTGATTCTCCATAGTGGTCCCAGTTCTGTTTCAATACTCATTACAAGAATGTGAGGATCAGATAGTGAGCAATTTGGATCACATCTTCAGTGTTGAACCCTTGAAGATAAAAAGTCCTTCAACTGATGCTGAAGTTTCACTAGCACTAAGAGTCTTGGAAGGATGTTGTCTGCTCCACAAAGAGAGCACTGTTTTAGCCCATCAGTTCAAGGCAATTCAGGTGGAATCTCATGAACCTTTAATAATGATACAAAACACATGAAGCTTTTCTTATTCCAATACTCCATCACATGCAGGTGTTGATGAACATATTAGCAACACGAGGAGTACTTGAGCAAGGTGCATGCTTAGATGCTCTTATCTCAATAATGTTGGACTCATCCGTGAATCAAATGGTATGTTATATCTTGAGAGTTGAGATAGATCATAGATGGTTTAGCAATAGTAACAGGTTCATATAACGATTCTACCAGGATTTTGAGGAATGCAATGGCATTGAGGAAGTTGCGTTGATTATAGGAGACAAACAAATAGATGAGAATTTGAGGTATGCTTGTCATATCTATAATATATGATGATATTGTTTTTTGAGGATTAAAGTTATGTATGTTGTTACAGGCTGAAATGTGGGGAGTTCTTATTGTTGCTGATTGGGCATGTAAATGGGAGGGAAGGAGCACCAATGGCAGGGATACATGATGATGTAAGGCGTCTGTTGGGAGAGAAATCTGCATCATTGATTTGGGCTGCAAGCCAGTTTGGATCCACACTTGATCCAGACCAAAGACTCACAGCTCTTCACATCCAAGCTCGCAGGGTGCTTGAGTCCCTAGACCTATATTGAATTTCACCTCACAAATTCCAACATTTGTTGTAGCCTGTGTAGCTCACATCAATTGTAGATATGGAAAAAATGTATTTGTGTTTTGAATCAGATAGATGATGCTTGTGTTTGGTTTACAACAAATTGATAACTGCAGTATCTGCTCAGTTAATGCATAATGTTTTCTTCCTGTAGCTTACCCATGGAAAACTGTTGTTACCTTTACAACAAGACTATTTTTAATGTATGTATCACGTATAACACAAGTATGAAATATATCATGCATATAATACATTTTAAAGGAATGTGCTTCTTTCAACCGTTTTCTCTTCCTTATTTCTTCATTATTGGCTCTATCATTTTTGAAACATTGATTTTTGGTACTTATCATATACCAATGAGTTTTCTGTACTTACAGGTTAGACATTACCAAGTGTTAGAAGTTTTTTCTGTATTTGTATCTTTTAGGGCATCTCCTACCAAATACCATTTTTTAGTTAACACCCGTTTTGGTATAAAACTCTCCAAGTATAACACCAATATGGTGTACTATTCACTCACATCAAATTTGGGTTGAAGTTTCATATGTCAATTGTAAAAAAAATGGTAAATTGTACCATCTGAAAGGCCCAGGTAGAAAGTCAATTGTAAAACACTATCGATATTTTGGATGTGTTAAGGTTTGAACTCTGGATGTTTTGTATGAAATTTCACTCTGCAACCATTAGACTCATATTACTGGACAACCAATTGTAGTTTTTCAAGCTTGATGTTTACATAAAAAAAAAAAAAAAACTCTTGGTCTCTTCCATATAAACGGAATTACAAAGTAAAGTAGATTTTGTTAAGACCTTGACAGTGATTTTCTTGTGTGGGGACTAAGTGTATGGAGCCTACTTAGCTATCGTTATTGTGTTAATTTTGTAGATAATTAAATTTTAAGAATTTTTGTTTTTATGAATAGCTTATAATAACTAAGAACTAACTTTTCAACTAGTTTGTCGAAAGGAAAAAAAAAATATGATCGTCAACCCAAAATTGGTAAAATAGTTTGAAATTTTTAACTTGTGATCCACCAATAGTGTCTTTAAGTTCGATTCTACATTAAAAAAGTCATCAATATTTTTGGGTTTAGTTGGACCCTAATTGGCTTTTTAATGTACCTGCGACTTTTTGCACATTAGTCAAGCATGCAATATCTTCCGGCAAATCAGAATTTGATAATTAGTGTCGTCTTGATTTTTTTTAACACCGTAGCACAACTAAATTTGACGTCTGCCCCATATTGGTCATTAATTTTTTTTTACACAATTAGTCATTTAACTTATAAAATTCATATCAATTACACCGGTTTTAGCTAGGCAACCTGATGAATCAATATACTTGTCGAGGAGAGATGCTTTATCCATTTTGGAGACGTTGGGTGCTACTGCTAGGAGGGTGTAGAATTTTTGATTTAGCTTTTCTCTTTTTTGTCTCTCCGTTTCCACGTGATTCAATGGCTCTTTCCGGCCATTTTTCGATTTTCTGCCGTATTTCCGTGGTCGTTTCTCCTGCTCCACTACGAGTCGACTCTCCGCCTCTCTTCTGATTGATGGTTCTACGTCTGTTCCGATCATTAAACCACAAGATTTTACAGTTTGAGATGGGGAATAACCATACCGGAGGTGAACGAGAGCATGCCTTCTTGGGTATTTTTGTTGATGTTATCTTCTCCTTTAGTGAATATCTTCTTGCTCTCACCAAAATTTAGGAGTTCGACAGATTTAGGCTTACACGAAACGAGAAGGATCCTCATTTATACTTCCATTGTAAGATCCAAATTCTGGGAAATTCAATTCTTTGCTACCGAACAATCCTTGATTTTTCCCATATGCATCTTCTTCTGGTGTGTTCAAGGGTTTTAGGCTCCATTGGTTCTGGTGCAGGAGTGCTTAAAGCGTGAACAGCTTTTAGTGTAGTAAGAAGGAAATGCATATTCTTTTGCCAACAACGAAAATCAGTGCCTTCAAACTTATCCAACGTCCTAAATTTGGAAGTCATGTCTTTAACAAATTATATCATTGATATTCTTTACAAATCGCAGATTTTGAATGTTAGAATTTAGGGCCTTAAGAATATCAATTTACTTGGATATTTTTTGGATCGTGATTACAATTACTTTCCAAAAATTTTGATTTGACCCTATACCCTAGGGTACCACGAACTCAGATTTGGGATAATCCCAAGAATTACAATTTAGAAATCATGTCACTTCTAAATCTGAAACACAGAAAAAGCATCTTGATGTTATGTGTTCTTGAGAAACAAATCAAATCAAAAGTATGATTTTTGTGTATATATGTACCAACCCGATTTTTGGAACATTCACCATTCTTATATAGATGTAAGAAATCGGTTGGAAGTTAGTGTATGGGGGTTAAATCCATTTTGGCACCAAAAAGATGGTTAAAATATGGTTATTTAGACATAACCGAACTTGACATCGATATGATGTCACAACCTATTTTTGGCGGGAATCTGCATGGATGGACTCTTTCCTGATATAGAAATATTTGCCCATTGGGCCCTGCTAGGGGCGCTGCCCCAGACCCCCGTATTCCCGAGTTCATATTTATCATTCCGAGTGTGTACCCACACACCTTCGGTCTCGGTTAGTAAATGGAGTTCAGCCTATCTCATTATTAATAATAACTACACTAAAATATGTTGATAACACTAAAATCACCGACACTTCCTCCAACCTTCAAAAGACCAAAGCATCAACAAAGAGCTCAAATGACAAGATGAGAGGCTAGAGTTTCAAAACGGGGAGATGGAGGTTGAATGA